AAAAGGGGTTTACCTGCCGCGGTGGCAGGGAGGGCCAGTGATGTTCACACAGAGAAGCCAGGCCTGGGGCTAGAATGGACTTGACACCACCACTGGCGGCTCCCCGCCCCCCAACCCCCCATCCCGCCCCAACCTCCGCCCTCCCTCCTGCCCACAGACCCTGCCTCCTGCAGGAAAAAGAGTGCCAGCAGCCCCAAGTTAGCAGCCGAGGTAGAATATTAGCCTATTTCTCCCAGGGTTTCTCTGTCAAACACAGGCTCAAGTCCTGGCTGGGACTGAAGACTTTCCCCTTTAAACCAGGGGAGTCTAGGGGAGCCTGCTGGGCAGACAGAACTGGCTACCACAGCCCAGCACCCCCACCTAATATTTTGATTCACCAGGTTAGTGAGGAACCAGGTCCCAGATTAAGGAGCAGGAAAACAGAACTCACCTTGTCGCTGACTGTCACCCCCTGAATGCTGACGGGCCTGCACAGTACCCAGATGACAGGCAGACACACCGGGAAAGGAGTGGTGGAGACTCCCAGCGGCCAGGCCGGGCTGGCTGCACCCCTGGGCTCAGAAGCTACCACCGCAAATGCGCACGTCTGTGCTGTTGTCTTTTGTTTGCAGATGTCAGCGCGGGTGCCCTTGCTCTTTACAGGTGCTCCGATCCCACCGATTCCTTGGGGTGAAAGCCCTGGGCCCTCTCCATGGATTCTGCTAACTCCAGGGACTCATGCCCTTGCAGCCCACGTGCCTCCCACTCCTGCGCCCCTAGAGGTCTCTGTCCCTCAGAGGAGGGACAGGGAACTGGATAAAGTTCTTTTGTCCCCCTAAATAAGAAATCTACTCACAGCAAGTGTTTTGTGTGTTATGCCATGTTGGTGAAGATTTGGTGGGAATATAAATTAGTGCAGCCACATTGGAAAATAGTATGGAGATTCCTCAAAAAATTAAGAATGCGTGGCTCAGTGGTTGAGCATTGACTATGAACCAGGAGATCACAGTTTGATTCCCGGTCGGGGCATATGCCCAGGTTGCGGGCTCGATTCCCAGTGTGGGGTGTGCAGGAGGCAATCAATGATTCTCTCTCATCACTGATATTTCTATCTCCCTCTCCCTCTCCCATCCTCTCTGAAATCAATGAAAATAAATAAATTAAAAATAAATTAATTGTCCTAATACATTAAAAAATAATTAAGATTAGAACTACCACATGACCCCACAATTCCACTTCTGGGTACGTATCCAAAGGATATATGAAAACACTAATTTGAAAAGATATCTGCACCCCTGTGTTCACTGCAGCGTTATTGACAGTAGCCACGATACGGAAGCAGCCCAAGTGTCCGTTGCGGGATGAATAAATAAAGAAGGTGTGCGTTTATGGGGTGTCCCAGAAAAAGGTATTCATCCTTTCCAGTTGATGTTTCTTTCTTTTCAGACTTAACCCATTGGAATTAATAATCATTGAAAGTGTGTATATATTTTGGGGGGACACCCCATATACAATGGAATATTATACTCCAAGTCATACTTTTGGAATTTCACTCGTATGACTAATGTTGTACTAATGAACCTTATCCATGCCACAGAACCCCTAGAGGGCATAACCACTGAGGGAGGTCCTGGCAGGGTCACAGGTCACAGGTCACAGGTCACAGGTGAGGATCTGGTTCATTATCTCTGCTCTGCTAATGGAATGAGCATTCTACCCCCCCCCCCCCCCCGCCATCAACCGCCATTTTGATCAGATACTAAATAATTGCACATAGAGTATTTGGATCTGTGTCTGGGCTTTCTCACTTCCATCCTCCTGTTCTTGTGTCAGAACTGAAATGTTTGATTTTACACATTTGAATACTGACAGTAGAGTTCAACATCCCTCATTATTTTCTGGGCTGTTCTCATGTTAATTCTCTTGGCTAACTGGGGGATTATTTTATCACGTCTCTTCCCCACTTTACAGTTGATTTTCAGATTTGGCTTGAAATTGTATTAAATGTATAAATTAATTTAATATTTTATTACTTATGTGTTGATGCTTAACGAGTTGCCTGGAAGTTTAGCAATACATATATTGAGGGTTATAGGAACAGCCTTGCTGGGTGACTCTGGCTCAGTCCCTTGTGGTGTTTCAGTGAAACTGTTGGCCAGGACTGCAGCCTCACCTGCCCAGAGCCTCTGCCACCCTCACCCACCTGACTGTTGGCAGGAGCTTCAGTTCCCTGCCACGGGGGCCTCATGACATGGTTTCCCCAGAGAGAGTGATGGGAGGAGAGAGAACCCAAAGGAGACGCCCACGTGTCTTTATTGCCTAATCGCAAAGGGGACAGGTCATAGTCTATTGATCACACAGACCAACCCTGATGGGAGTGGGAGGGGCCCCAGAAGGCCATGATGCCAGGAGGCAGGGCTCTCGGAGCCTCTCGGAGGCCCCCTAACAGAGATGAACCGGACACTTCACAGCGTTAGGTCTTTCTGAAGGTTCCGTGTTCCTGTACCCACTGAAACCCGACGTGTGTTCTCAGGGAAGATTTCCACTTTTCTTTACACAGCTCCCCACTTTATTAAACTCATTCTCAGTATTTCATATCGATTTGGCTGCTACTTTGAACGGGGTCTTTCCCACGTTGTATCTTCTAAGAAATTGTGCTCACACAGGGACACTATTGATTTTTATGGCCATAATTTTTCAGTAGAGCTTAACTGGTGACAAGGTGAAAACCACTGGCCTTTCACTGAGCCTGGGATTGCGAAACTGAGAGCAGGTGAGATGCCAAATGTGCTCTAGGGAGCAGCTTCCCTGCGTGACTCAGTGCAGGGGAGGTGGGCAAAGTAAGGAGAGCCTCCCTGTAGCGGATCCCCGCGTGGTGGCTGTGTCCAGGGGTTTCCAAGCCGAGGTGATGGGGTTCTCTGGCCAACCCTTGACCCTGCCTTGGAGGGAGCCTGTGGTAGGGTGAGAGGACAGCCGTGGCCGGCAGCCTAGGGCTCGCCTAGAGCCCACGGATTCAGCCCATCTGCCCATGACTTCCAGGTCCCCGTCTCCAGCAACCTCTGTCCAGGATCCTGTTCTGGATGCCTCCCCGGTGTATGCTCAGCTCTAATGAACTCCGCCTTGAAAGTTCCTTCATCCATTCTCTCTTCTAATAGGCATTTATCTGGCACCTGCTGCAGACCAGGCAGCGTTCCAGGCAGAGGGCATTAGTGGGGCACCTGCCCTGCGGTGCTTGTCATCTCCTCAGGGAAGAGAGACAAAAACACAAATAAGTAAGATGATATTTTACAAAGTAAGGGGTGAGGGGAAAACTGAGCAGGAGGGTCAGGAGTATAGAGGAGCTAAAGGTTTGAGCAAAGACTTGAAGGGGGTGATTGAACCATGTGGGTTCCAGGCAGAGGGAACAGCCAGTGTAAGGCCCTGGGGAGGCAGGGTGCCTGGGGTCTGCAGAAAGCCAAGGACACCAGCGGATGGAGCCAGGGAGGGCGGGAGGGAGGGAGAGTGCTGGTGGTGGGAGGAGCTGCCTGAGGAGGTGAGCAGAGGGAGGCAGATCATGGGCCCATGAAAGGACTTGGCTTTGACTCAATAAAATGAGCCACTGGAAGGATTTTAACAGAGATCTGATCTGATTTTAGTTTTAAGAGGATTTTAGGTGGAAGCAGAGATGCCTGATAGGAGGCCTGGGGTGAGGACTCTCTCCCCAGTCGGCCCTCCATGATTCCCACTGGCAAGGCCAGCACGGACTTAGCGCCTCTCTCATAGGCTTGGGCCGCGGTCACAGGCTTGGGCCAACGTTTGCCACCATTCTCCTGCCTCCTGCTCTTCAGTCTCTGCTCCTATCACCAGAGCTGTCTGCGCAATGCCTCCAGGCCCTGCTTCAGCTTCCAGCCTCCGATGACATGAACTGGGACGGACAAGGTGGGGCCTGCACAACCGCCCCCGCCCCCCGCCTGCCCCCCTGAACTTTCAGAGGCCAGTATTTGGGAGTCACTTTTTTTTTTTTTTAATATATTTTATTGATTTTTTACAGAGAGAAAGGGAGAGAGATAGAGAGTTAGAAACATCGATGAGAGAGAAACATCGATCAGCTGCCTCCTGCACATCTCCCACTGGGGATATGCCCGCAACCCAGGTACATGCCCTTGACCGGAATCGAACCTGGGACCCTTCAGTCCGCAGGCCGACGCTCTATCCACTGAGCCAAACCGGTTTCGGCAGGGAGTCACATTTTTAAAGGACTTTTGAAATATGTTTTATTTCAGTCATATGAATGATGAAGCTTACTCATGGCATTAAACAATATGGACTTGTCTAAAGGTGGTCTCCCTCCCTCTTCCCAAAAGAAAGCAAAGAACCATGTGTGTTCTCCGTATTTTTTCCTTTGTCTACACAAAATAAACACAGACTTTAAAAAATGGATTACACTGTGCACAATATTATGCATGTCGCCTTTTCATTTTATCTGCCCTGGACATTTCTCCTCGCTACACCTTTGTGAAGTGGCGAAATGTCCCCCACCGAGGGGACATTTCAGGTTGGTTTCCAGTGTGCGCACCGCAGCCACAGAAGAAACCGCGTTAGCATGCAAAATCCAACGTACACATCGGCCAGCAAAAAATGAAAGCAACATAAACCCAGTTGAAAGGCGGCAGAAACCCATGTCTGAATACCCCAGGTGCCCGGCCCCATTTCAGTCGCCAGGTGTTCCCCCAAAGGAACCGCCGCAGGCTCCTTTCGTGCGCGGCCCCAGCCACTGCGGTCCGGGCCATACCAGCTGCTGTGTCCCCCTCGCTTGGCTGGCTAGGGGTTCCCCTCTCCTCAGGTCCTGGCACTGCGTCCCTGGGCGCTTGGCCAAGTCTCCCCACATAGGCTGTCCCGCTCCTCGAGGCCGCCAGGAGGCGCCCCCGCCTGGGGCCCAGCGGCCCGCAGCTCCGGGGAGGGCGGATCGGCTGGCGGCCGCCCAGCGGGAGGTGGCGCCACGCGGGCGGAGCAGCTCCCGGCCGCGCCCGCTGGAAATCAGACCCCGCCGCGCCCCGCTGCCCTCCATGCCCCGGCCTCCTGCCCCACTGACCTGGGATTGCCAGGCAGCACCCCGCCCCTGCGGCACGAAACGGGGTGCTTCCCGTCTGACCACTGCCCACCTTCTCCGAACGGGGACACCGCCGCAAGAGTGACACCGTCCCCCTCCGCGCTCACCGGGACCTCCGCCCGCAAGCGGCCTGCCGGTGCTCTCTGCGCCCTCTTCGTGCAGGAGCCTGGGGGACCCAGGAAAAGGGAGACGGCAGCCAGCGCTTTCTGCGCGTCCTCTCTCCCCTTCTATTCTCTGGACTCCGGCCCCACCCGCCACAGCTCGCGCGCTAGCCACTAGCGAGAAGCGTGTGTAGGAGGCAGGAGGAGGCTGGAGGAGGAGGTTCTGGGTGCGAGAACCTCAGGAGGCCAGCACTTGGAGGTGGGAGGACAGAGGAGAGGGCGCGGGCCAGGGCCCAGGGCCGTCGCTGTGTGGCAGGAGCCTCTGTGTGGGAGCTCCAAGGTCTGGGTCATACGGGGACAAGCCCGCTAGACCTCGGGAGGGCAGCCTGGCCTCCACGCTTCGTTGCGATGCGGTGGCTTGAAGCTCATCTGAACCCCCGTAATTCTTCTTCCTGTTCCCTGTGGTCCATCACTCTTGGGTGCCTGATCCACCTCCATCCTCACAGGGAGGAAAGGGACACGAGATCACCGATGCCACCAGGCCACAGTGCCGAGTCCTGTTCATTTTCTCCTCCTTGCGTTACATTTTTTTAAACCATCAAAAGTCATAGTTGCCAGTGGGTGTTAAATTTGAAATCTGGGTGGGGGCCCAGTGTGGCAGCTCATTGATTGGGTAGCCATAGGCAAGTCACTTACCCACCCTGCACCCCAGCTTCCTATGGGAGTACAAGGGCAGCTGTGAGCGGCTCTGAGCACCTGCTAGGCGGGTCCCGTCTCAGTGGCAGTGGCTCCTGCCCACCTGACAGCTGGCGACATCTGCTCTGTCCGTGTGCGCCAGATTCCGGGCTCCCGGACGCGCAGTTCCGTTCTTTGTGGTCACCTTCAGACACCTGCAACAAACAGCAAAAAGATCAGCGACAGCCACCAAACCTGCGGGTTCACCTGTCAGCCCATGCCCAGCTCAGAAGCTCACTGTCGGGAAAGGGAGAGGCAGTCTGCCTCCGTCTGTCCTTGAACTCCACGGAGAAGCCCCTTCTGTGGTCCCTCCCGATTCCATGTTGTTTTCTTTCTTGGCTCTAACACAGAGGAAGCTCTCCCCTCAGGCAGAGTTTAAATGCATTACCTCAGGATGCCAGATGTCCTGGAGAAGGTTGGAAATGTGGAGCCGTGGTGAGAAGGCTGGGGAGCCCAGAGGCTGCTGGCTGGCTGCTCTGGCCTGTTTGAAATTGGCTCAAAAGACGTGGAATTAGTAGGCAAAGTTGCCTCCGCCTCCTCCTCTTACCTGCGGAGGAGAGATCGGTTCCTGGCTGGCCGGGGCAGTGTCATCGATACAGCTGGTGTCATCGTTACCTTCCACTAACAGATCACTCGACACCCGTGGCCCCGGCAGGGCTGTGCCTGGTGCTGTCCCGGGAGCTGGAGCTTTGACCCTCCCATTGCCCTGAACCCCAGGCCAGCCGGCGAGGCGCTGCTGCGATGCGGCGCTTGGAGACCCAGCAGGACTAGATTGTTCCTGGTGCCTGCCTCCCCTTAGGGTCCCAGCCGCCTCTCGGCTTCCTGCTGCCTGGCTGGCCCGGCCCGTTGCTGTCCAGGCAGAGGAGATGAGTTTGCTGCTTGCTGGGAGCTGAGGCAGTGACATGCTGCTCGGAGAAGGGGCTCTTGGGGAGGCCCTGGAGTGAGGAGCCGGGTGGGGAGCAGCCTGGGGTGCCCGGCCGTCCGGGCTTTGCTGGTGTGGGCACCCGGGTGGCACCATGCTGCAGCAGATCCTGCACGACATGTACATCGACCCCGAGCTCCTGGCCGAGCTCAGCGACGTGCAGAAGCACATCCTCTTCTACAAGATGCGCGAGGAGCAGCTGCGGCGCTGGCGGGAGCGCGAGGCCTGGGAGGCCCTGGCCCAGGCGGAGGGCCTCAGGCCCCCGAAGGTCAAGCGAGGTATGTGCCAGGGAGTTACTGAGGGGCTCCTTATTGATGCCAGGCTAGGTTCTGCTTTAAGGCGGGCACTGGCGGGATGCCAGGTTGGAGCTTGAAACCCTTGTTCTGTGAGCGTCTGGTCCCAGGAGCACGGGCTTTGGTTTTTTGTCCAGGTCGGCAGGGCCCCAGGGCGGCAGAGGGGGCTGTCCAGGGACATGATGGTGCTGGGGAACGGGACGTGCTTTGTCTTGTGGCAGCTCAGGTCCTGGGAGGGCACCGTCGGGACCCCAGATGGTCTTCGACACCGTTGGTGACTGCCTGGCGAAGGTGCCGGTGCAACCAAGCTGTGCAGTTGCTCCCTTTCTCGTGTGGGAGGCACACTGGTTCTGGGCGAGGCCAGCTCTGGGCACTGGCACCCTCTGCCCTGCCCTCGTGTGAGAGGCCCCTCCATGGGCATCTGGAGGGGGTGCTGGGGAACGTCCTGCACAGAGTCCCAGCCCCAAATGGCAGCAGCAACTGCAAACGGCAGGCAGGACCCGGCCCACATTTCAGGTGTTTGCTGCTGTCATGTGCGGTCAAGCCCAGGGACGGTGCCCGTGTGAAGGAAGGCACCTTGAGGCGGGCGGCTGCTAGGCGGGGCGGGACTCAGGATCTGGGGGTGGCCCTCCGTGCATGCTGCCCACAGAGTGCACAGCACCATTCATTCCTCTTCCCTGTTCTCCCCACCAGCCTAAAATGGCCTCCATCTGTTCTCCGGAGTGAAGTGCAGACTTGATCTGTTTAAAGTTTTCAATCAGGACGAAGTCCTGTTTCTGTGCTGGGCATGCTGGCCCCGTGGGCCCTTGGCTCCTGCTCTCTACCCCGGGCTCACTGGACAGTCCCTGCTGGGTGCCACAGGCCACCCTCGCACCACCCGGGCAGCTCGCTCCAGCCTCTGGCTTTGCACGAGTAGTTCTTCCTATTGGAATGTCCCCCTGCCTTCATCCTCCTGACAAACTCTTTCAGGACCGGTCCCCTCCCTTGGAATCTTTTGGGGATGCTCCTGGCACAGGGAAGTACTTACTCCTCTGCAGCAGCTTGGCATGGGGACCCACCCTCCCTACACTTGCCCCACTGTCATCTGCTTGCTTGGCTCCCCCGGGGACTCAAAGAGTGGGAGGCCTTACTCCATTGTCTTCCATCCCGGGTCCAGCCCAGAGCTGGCACAGAGCGTTCTGCACAAGATGGAGCAGGACCCTGGGTGCAGAGCTGTGACTTGGCTGCGCATGGCTGGTGCCAAGGCTGGGCGGATGGCCGGGCTGCGCTGGCAGTTAGCTGCATCTCTAGCCCCACCCGGCCTGGCCCTGGGGCCTCACATCGGCTGTGCAGTGACTCCTTGGGGAAGAAGACAGATGCCTGAAAATTAACTGCAAAAATATTTTTATGGCGATTTGTCACACGCTGACATCTACATTCTCGTGTATAAATTATACATTAAACTCATTTGGGTTTCTGGTGCAGATGACTTTTTTCCGGGTAATTAATTTTCTGATTTATAAAGAATGGAAAAAGAGGAGAAAACACAGAGGAATGTGTGTGTTCCAGGTCAGGATCCCATTCAGATCTCAGCTCTTTGCTTCGGTCCTGCCTGTGGAGCTGTCGGGGCAGATAAGGGGGAGCTTTGGGGCCAGCTGTGCCCCAAAGGCCACCAGCTTCCTGCTGCCGGTCCAGGAGGCACAGTGCCTGCTTCCTGCTTCCTGCTTCCTGCCCTCGGGTCATGACGCAAGTTTCAGGAACCTCTCACCTCCTCAGTGAACTTCACGTTTACCGGATGCCTGCCCCCACGGAACACTCCCATAGCCCAGGGACCCCGTTTCAATGAAACCATGGCTCACAGAAGTCCATCATGTAGATACTAAGAAATGGAGTTGAGACACATATCCCCTGACTTTGACTGTGGGTGCAGTTACTGATGTTTTTCTCTTCATTCACTTTTGAATTACGACTCAAGTTCAACAGATCATCCGTGCACTCATTCATTTTTTTCATTCACTCTCTTATCCAACATAACTAAGTGCTGACTTTGGTCAACTGGACAGAGCTTTGCAGATCCCAGGAGACACAGCCAGGAGCAAGGCTTGGTGCAAAGCAGCCACATGGTGGCTCAGGGTGGGAGTGTGTGGGGACAGGCCCCGTGGGCTGGACCTTTTCCTCTGCCTTACCTTCGTAGGCACTCCCTCCACCACGTTTGTCTGAAGGTCGCATCTGCTGTGGCCTGTTGGGCTGTGTGCACAACTTAGTCCGGTAAACCTGGAAGGACGCTTCGCCTCCTCCTGTCCATTGGCCCCAGTGCGGCTTGTCCCCTAAGGCCTCCACCCTACCCTCTCTTTTCTGGGGACATTTCCCAGCTCCTAGCAGGCCTTACTGGCTGTTTCTAGGGCTCAGGTGCTGAGGGCCGGGTGGGGCCAGGCACACCTGTCGCTGTGGTGTCTGCTCTCCAGTGGAGCCAGGAGAGGGTAGGAGCAAACACTGGTGATGCAGACTGTGCCAGGTCACAGAACTGATCCTGGGGCGCACATTTGGGGCCGCACAGACATCGCTGGGGTGAAAGGTGACAGTTATGACGGGAAGCATCACTCCCCTGATGACACAGCCTGTCTCTTCTTTTCGCTTTATATTTGGTGAGGATCTTTGGGCGTCCTACACGCTGTGGAAGACACTCATCTCAGCGTAGGCGCTCTCGCACCTGCCGTCACTTTTGCTACTTTGCCACATTCCCGACACCATTTGATGTCCCACAGGAACCGGTGTGGTTAGGCTGAGTCAGGAAGGCAGCAACATTACGTTCCTGCTGGATTTTAGCCAAGCCCCAGCATGGTCACGACTTTGGCGACCTCTTCCCTCCTGTGCTCTTTCACCCGCACAGGAACCCACACCCCTGTCAGGGGCAGCAGCCTTCACAAGCTCCAGCCTCTCTGCTTGCTCAGCTGTCCCCGTGTCCTGGGGCTGAGCCGGTGTTGCCTGGGACACAGGACTCGGGACACGTGTGTTCGAACGGCTGTCGTGACCAAGAAAGCTCCTCCCGCTGCCCCCCCCCCCCTTCCCCAGCCTGTCAGTCCTTCCTTTGTGATTGGCAGTTTCTGTCGGTGTCAGATCGGTTGCTCTGTGACCACCTCCCTATCCGTCCCTACATCCTTTGCCTGGGACCAGACACCTTCCCCACCCTCTTTCCCACTTCCTCCTTTAGCGTGCTCACCACAGCCACACTGCGACTCAGGCCTGCACACAGGGAGCTGGTGGCTTATGTCCTCTGTGCTTCTTGCTCACACAGCCACCCCCGTGTTAGCATCTCCACGTGCCTCCATGCTGGCCCCTGGCCTGGCCCTTGCTCCAGCCTACGGAGCGGAGCGCTCTCGGTGCAGCTGGGTCCCAGCCCACTGCCTCTGTTCCCCACAGCTGGGGTCAAGAGGTGGCTTCCTCCCTCCTAGCGCCCCCTCTACCCTGCCGGCTCAGCCTGTGCGGCTCCCAGACGCAGCCCTGACCTGGGCCTGAGGGAGACACCTCCTCAGCATCCACTCTGTCGAAGCATTAAGCCGCTCCTGCTGCATACCTGCCCAGGCTTTGGTGCCTCATGTGGGCCTGGTCCGTGCCCTGACAAAGCCGTGGGACACAGTCCTAGCTGTGCAGCTGCTTTCATTCAGTAACCAGGGCAACCTTCCCTGGGGCCTGAGCCCTCAGCCTCAGTGTGTTCCCTTTCCCAGCGTGGAAGTCCTGACCGTACTTGGCTGCAGGCCTCCCTAACTCAGCGCTGTTCTCACACTGATGCTGTAGGACCCTTTCTCCCAGTGCCCTTTCAACATGCCAATTAGCTCACGCACGTTCCTTCCTCAGTGGCAAAGAAAATGCAAATGCCTTTCACTGGCTCTGCCCACTCTCCAGCCCATTTCCACCCACTGGGGTCCCTCTGCTCTTTCCCGAGCCCTCTGGAGGCCAGTTCCTTCCAGCATTCATTTCTCATTACATGGTGAGCTTTTCACTGACTACCTTCCCAACGAGCCCCATCCCAATCTCTTTTCACGGCACTCTGCCCAGTTTTCTTCACAGTGAGATGCGATTTTAAGCTGTTGGGTTCGTTGTCTCGAGAAATTGTGGAATGAATTCACGGATAAGGGAGGGGTAAGCAAAAGGGAGAGAAATTTATTAAAGCGAAAGTAACAAGACTCTTGCCATGTGAGAGGGTCCCTCCCAAAAAGGGTTGCCACAGAAGCTCACCAGTCTAGGGGTTACTATTTCCTGCACTTGTCTTCTATTGGCTCTTTCAAAAATTTCCTTCCTTATCACCAGCCAATCTCCTCTTGCCCTCGCCTTCCTGCTTTTAGCTCCTGCTCTTGGGTTGGGTGAAGGAGTGGGAAGGGCAGCCCTACAGTTGGCTGGTACATTCTGCCAATCTTGCTCACATCCTGACCATCCTCTTGATCTGCTATCTTCCTTCCCTGATGCCCTTACCCTAACCTGCCTGATCCTAACTCAACAGCAGAAACTTTTTAATAAAAGAATATCCTTTTTTTAAACAACAAAAAAATTATGCTACAATCCACACCACATATAATTCACCATTTTAACCATGAAAGGCTGTGCAATCTAGTGATATTTAGTATGTTCAAAACTTTGTGTAACCACCACCTCCATCTTGTTCCAGAACATTTCTGCATCCATGAATCAGTCACTCCCCATCCCCTCCTCCCCTCAGGCCCTGGCACCACTGACTCCTTTCTGTCTCTATAGATTCCTCCTTTTCCCCCTCCTCCCCTTCCCTTCCTTCTCCTCTCTCTCTCTCTCTTGCCTCTTCCCGCTTCTGAATCTGTTCACTCAGTTGAGGCCAGTCTCCTCCATGAACCTGAAAGTACCGTGAGACCATGGGTGTTGCTTGCATCGTTTCTACCCGGACTGTGACCACAGCCTAGGGCTTTGGTGGGTGTGTGGGCAGGCGGGTGAGGAGCTGCTAAGACCCTTGCAGCCTCATATGTCATTGGGGCTCAGCT